TTTCATAGTCCGCCGGCCGGCCGGCCGGCGGACTATGAAAGCAGTCAATGCCTACCTGGGCAATACGATGAATCGCCATTGAATATACCAGTGAGTGCTCAGCCCTGTCAAGCTCTCTTTGTACCAACTATTCAGCGCAGGAGCTGTCCTTTAATTGTATAAGCTGATTCTGATAAAGGTCAGGCTGTGTACAATCAAACGCCGCTCACATTTTATCATATTTTTAATCCTGAATTAAATTCCCGATCAATAGAATAGTAGTGATCCCTGTATTGACCTCCTTTGATATCAGCAGCGAAAGAAAGGTAAGAAAGGTGTTCAAGCTACACATTTGTTCCTTCAGATGGATCCGGTGCCAACCATTGTCCTAGAGGGGATATCCCTAGCTCAGGCGCCAGATAGCAACCCCTTGGCACAATTCTACCTCAGCCTACTATGTGCCTGTTCATAAGTGGTACCTATGACTGTCAACATAACTGCTTATGGGCTCGTCATCAACTGGAAGACTGCGAATCCATTTTTACCAACTATTCAGAGGAAGCTAGAATAATGGATTCTCTTTATCGCTTTTTACAGATAATTGTGTGACCAAAGCACTTAACTTAGAAAATCGATTTGCTTAGTGCAACTCATGAAGAAAATTACTTTAGATGGATGATAAGCGCTGAAAAGCCCCTTCGTTTGCCCATTAACAGGCGCAGAAAATAGCACAGAGCTTGCATGGGTTGCCATAAAGCCACAAAAACCAGTTGGCAAGCTGAGCAAATGTGTAAGGGCTGGTAGACATCAGTTCCATTTAACTCTACAAATAGGAACGCTCCGAGATACAACCTCATTTACTGCCCTTCGATACTGAATAATAATTTCCAACGGGTTTACATATTTGTTTCAATTTGCAGACATATATCACCAAATCTGTGATTGTGTCGCTACCAGTTACCCTCTAAGAAAAGGAGGAAGCAGCAGTCAATGGTCCCCTACCACCCTTTCCTTCCTCCCGAGGGTTGGATTCCGTCCCTACCGAATAATCAATCTGTTAACAAGCCTTTATAGAAAGAATAGGGCAATGACTCCGATACTGGCCAGATCTGGGAGCGATTGTTTGGCACAGCTACCCTTTCAAATAGTTACACGATTCGATGCAATAAGTGGATGCATGGCGCAATCCAAAGGAAAACTATCGAAACTCTCATAGCGTATTCAAGCCGAACACACCAAATATACAAACACACATCATTGCATCCGCTTCACAATCACCTTGGTTTCACGCCCTCGGCACTGAGCGACTGAGGCCGACGTCGAAGGCAATTAGCGACGACGACAACGAGGGTGGAGCCAAAGCCACACCTCCTTGGACATCGCCCCGCCCCCACAGACACACGCTTCATCTGAACAGGCCAATTCACCGCACAGATGATATACGTTGTTGCGTGTCATTGATACCCCCTGTGGGTGGGTAGCCAGAACGATCATCGGCGACGACCAGGCCTCGTCATCGTTATACTTAGTAACCATGATTGATTTTCATGACGGAATTACGGGGNGGGGTTTTTATGGTTGCCTAGCTGTTTGCTATTCACTGACTGCACTTTTGAATAGCTTCCAACGTCTAATCGACACGTTTTAGTGGTTCCGAAGGTTTCGTAGCTCACAAAGGCCCAGTGGAATCGTTTCTGCCAGCTCTCTTGTTGCCAGTTCTATATGTTTGCCATTTTCGATTGATTTATTTATTTGAAAAATGATCAGCAATTTCATATTCGGTCATTAGTTCTTGGCAGAGTGCCCTAGCTAAGTCAGTTGTGATGAGCTACACACCTATGTGGGCAATTTTTTTACTATTTTGAAAAGTTAGTTACTATATTTATCATTTGAATACTATGCTTAGCAAACGGACCATTTACCTCCCTGTCATCATCGAACCAGAGCCCTGAGTACTGGGCATTCATACTCAATCCAGCCCGGGAGCGGGTTACCGTATGCCACTGTTGCAGAGACCCATGTAACGATATTACCATACCGGCCACTTACCGTAGTACTTCTCAGTAAACTTATTTTACCATTAAAAGCATTCGTATATTGCCTTTATATAATTATTCTGAACTTCTCATCTTGTGATCTCCGCTCGAATCCTGTAGAGCTGGTAATCAATCAATCGATAAGACCTCTGATTAACGACTCCGCCTCTTCTGAAAGCCAGATATTCGAGATTTCTAGCTGGGGGGGGGGTGGTTCGAAACCTTCAGATGAGTCCAGGAAGGGCAGGAAGGAAAAGCCGGGATGTCTTGAACTGCTTTGAGCCAGCTATAACTGAAGCGAGGCCTGGAATCCTTCTAATTGTGCTTTCAAAAGTTCTGCTACCTTGCCCTTCCAGCTCATGCTCTCCCAGATTGCCTATCTGTTCGTTCGAGCGATCGATAATCGATTTGCTCAAGATTTTCTTTTCTGCAGACATCTCTCGTGCCATGTGATGTGGCCTTGGCCAGTGCCATTCATACTTGCGATAATGTCGGATGTCGTTGGGGCGATGATCGGCAATGACTATTTGCCGAAACAAAAATCTAATTGCTTCAGGTTAGTGTGTTCTACCACGAACTCAAGGAGTTTATTGTATTTTTATTTTCTTTTGTTGAAGTGCATCCTTTGGACAATCTACTTATAGCAACCTTCGAGACTACAGGGTGGGCCAAAATTATGATTACACAGAAATCATATCGCAGAAAACGAATAGAAAGCCAATAGAGCAAACCAATTTCATTAAAGGGTTTAGCACAAATTTCTTATCAAAACTGTACATTGAAACTGGGATCTGTTGCTTTCTGCTTTCACCCAACCCCAAAGACGACGATGGACGGCATTGACGGTGGCACGCAGCAAGGGTCAGCGAAATGGTCCCGGCTTTTTGCTAAGCATTTTCGA